GACTAATACCCTTCCAGAAAAAGCAGTCTAAGCAAAAAATAGTACATTTGCATATGACTATAACTTTAAAACATCTTCCTTAGCCCTCTCCCAATATATCCCCAAAGCCTCTCCTAAGTAGCAATTGTGCAATCAACACTGAGAATACGAGCGAGGAAGTGTATGTATGATTTTCAAAAGCCTTTCAGGAGGTTCTGGTTAAGTCTTTCTAGCTGAGAACCCTGGGCACTAAGCCAAGCTACGAAAGAGAGGACGCATGACATTTGACTTGATGTTGTATGACCTCTTGCACAGCATGGAGGATGAACACAACTTAGAGTAAAGGGCACTGTTTTGGGCAAGGCTGCCACTTGCTGCTTCTCTCAATAGCGGTTGATTTCTGAAACCAGGACTGTGGGGCAGACAGAGCACTGAGCCAAGGGGATTCATGTCTAGGCGGCCCACGGGTCTTCTCGGAGAGCTCCTGCCTGCAGCACATGCTCTAAGAATATCATGTTAGAGGTTTCCACAAAACTCACGTTTCAGTGGCTGCCTCAAGAAAGTCATACAACTCTTGTTATTTGTCTAAGTGTACTTCCAAATGCAGAGAGTCCCCTTTCTTCCTCTTTCTGGGTGAGAGACATTTTTGACCTCTTTGCTAACTCATTATTCATTACACTGAAAGCAAGAAGAGGATGAAAAGCAGTGACATAATAGAGTACAGTGACTGAGATGAAAATAACTAGCCTTTGTCCCACCCCCACCCCCTAATACTTTATAGTTAAGTCCTGCAAGCTGAGCATGTGCCCAGAAGTTTCTAGTTCAAAGTACACTTACCCCACATCCCACTTGCCCCTTGCCACACAAACCAACACACACTTGAACCCAGAAAACTTTTTTCTGCTTATTTATGTTAATCATCAAGCCAAAGCAAATAGCCTCCCACTTTCTGGATCCAGGACGGGGGGCAAACAAATAAGAAGACAGCACAAATCCTCTAGCCAAATAAGAAAAAAACAAGCCAGCAAACATACAAAAACCTGTATTCTAAGCCAGGAGGTAGGCCACCATGTACCAGGGAGTTGCATCAGCTGTCCACGTAGAAAGTTGGTTTCCCAACTTTGAACTTTCTCAGTTTCACACAGCAACACCGCCACTAGATGAGCAGCAGGAAATTGATTTATGTTGTTGGTTTAGGACTTCAGTCAACCACCAGTTTACAAAGTCTTCATTAAAATGTTCTGTTTCAGTGGCAAAGGACTGGTTCATTCATTCACTCATTCAGCATGCATACCCAGGAGCACGGAGACTGAAGGGAGACCCTTCACAGACAAAAGACCCCAGGCAACTCAGTCTCAAATTAGGGGGCAACTGGGTAAATTGAGAAAATAACACAAGGTAAGTGCTGACAGAGGTCTATACAAAGTGCTGAAGAGCAAAGGTGTGATTCCAAGCCAGCAACATATCTGCAATAGGAAGGAAAATGAATTATGGGTTTATCACCCTATGGTCCTTCTCCCCACCTATCCAGAGACATGAAGCTGTCAATCCTATTCTATTCAGATTCAGTTATTAGGTGACTGGCAGCCACAGAGCTCAATCAAGATGTTTCTAAAGAGCTTCACCAGGAGGGAAAACTGTATGCAAATCAAAGTTGTTTGTACACCACTCCAAAACAAGCCCTAAAAAAGTCAGGCAGGAAAAACCACTTCTCTCTCCTTCCATCCAAAGCAATCTGGAATCCAGACTGACCGGCCAGGCACGGGGCAGAACCAGTGAGCTGGTGCATAAAGGTGCAACCTATTCTCCAGCCCTTGGCACAACTCCCCAGATATAACCTGGTGTCCAGTGTGCAGGAGACGTGGAGAACGGCGGTGGGAATTCTAGCATTCAAACACTGCCACCTCTCTCTGGCCTCTTTATGATTCAGCCCTGTTCCGCTGGGTTGGTTGCCCAGGCTTCTGAGACGGGAAATTTTGTCAAAGTGGGAAAGTTGGAATCGCTTTGGTACAAGGACCGGTGAGTATGCCTGAATCCACCCTTCACTTCCCATTCCAGTTCCAAGCCCCTTCACCACACTTCAATTATCCTCAGGTAAAATGAGACAATGTCCACTAAGCACCCAGCCCGTGAGTGACATGTAGTCAGAACGCAGTAAAACCAGCTTCTCTGGCCTTTTCACACACACCTCCTGGGTCAAAGCCCGTCACCGCTCTAGGCATGAGGGAAGTTGCCCCCAGGTGGGTAAAAGTTGACAAAACTCTTGGCCACCCCCCCATGCTCTGGGGGTGTGAGGACAGGTGGGTGGTGTGAGTGTGTGCAAGAGTGTGTGCGCGCCTGGCGCATCCCGCGCCGCGTTAACCCCTTACCTTCGAGCAACACCTCCTTGCCCGCGCGCTTCAGCGCCTGCACCGCCTCGTCGTGTGTGGCGTCCCGCAGGTCAGCTCCGTTCACCGACAGGATGGCGTCGCCCACGTACAGGGCTTGGGTCTGGTCCGCCGCCAGCCCCTTGAAGATCTTGCTGATGAGGATGGGCATCTTGTTCTCCTTGCCCCCCTTGATGCTGATGCCCAACCCGCCCAGCTCCTGCTTCAGCACCTTTACGCCGCGCTTCTGGTTGGAGATGGCCTCGGGCACCTGCTCAGGCAGGTCAGTGAAGGCAGTGCGGACCCTCGCGGGCGAGTCCGGGGGCTGCGCGCCGCCGGCGCCCGGGGACTCAGCGCCCCTGCAGAACGAGCCATTGGTGGCGGTCCCCAGGCCGTTGTATGCCGCCGCGCTCTCCTCGCAGCTCAGAACCAGGGCGTCCTCGCTCAAGTTCACCAGAACTTTGTGCCAGCGATCCCGCACCAAAACTTCCAGCAGCCCGCTCCGCTGCGCACGGCCGCCTCCCGCGCCCGCCGGCCCCGCAGCCGCTGCCGCCGCCGCTACCGCCATCTTTCCGGCATTCTTAAAATGCCATGTGATTGCAAAGGGTGGAAAAGTGGAGAAGGGTGGGGCGGGGGCTGGACGCGGGGCCAGGGGGGACCCGGAGGGCGCGCCCGCGGGCAGGAGGCGGGACGCGGGACTCGGATCCCGAAGCTCGCAGACTGCGCTGCGCGCGAGTCGGCAGCCGCCGCCGGGCTCGCTCGCCCTCGCCTGATCCTGGGCGGGGTGGAGCCACCTAAAAGAAGAAGGCGAGACGGTGACAGGGGAAAAAAAAAAAAAAAAAGCTGCTGCCAGTTGCAAAACCCCAAGCCGAGGGGCGCCGCGGCGCAGCGGAGCGAGCGCGGGTGGGGAGAGAGGTAGGAGGAGGCGCGCTCGCGGAAGGGCGGGGACGGCCTGGCGGCCACTCACCTGTTCCTGCGACGGAGCTCGGCGGTCGCACGCCGCCAGCTGGCTTCCACCAGGCTCGCTTCTTCCTCAGAGAGCGCGTCGCGGTGGGGTCCACTTCCCCAGCGCCTTTCCGGTGGCGCTTCTCTCTGCCCTGCCCAGCCCTCTCTCCTCAGCTCTCCCTGCTCTGCAGGCACCTTTGCCGGGTCTGTGTCCCGCCTCAGCCCCCGCACTCCATTCTTCCTGATTCCCCTTCCCTTCCACACCCTGTGGAACTGTGTCTGACAGTCCTTCCTCCAAGTGTATCTGGACCCAGGTCTCCTCTCGCTGACTTCGTCAAACCGAGGTTTAGCTTCCTCTGCTGAGTTCGTAACCTTTCTCCTCTCTGCAAGCTCTCAGGACCTACACAGAGGCCTAGGCTCTCTGAGAGTCAAGAGGGACGGCTATCCCAAGAACTCAGAGTGAAATGGCAACTGAATCGTGTGCCCTAAGCCTCATCTCTTTGGATGTGGGACATCTTTCCTGCCGGGCCTCTGGAGAGGCGTGTCTGCTGGCCAAGGAGGCTCCAACAGGTCACTGCCTGCCCTAGGCTCCAGGGACAAATGCTCTTCCAGCACGAACACATTATGTTCACCAGAAGCTTCAAGCTTCTGACCTATGCTTTTTTTTCCCCCTGGTACTTTCTCTTCCTGAGATCCAATACAGGATGTCTCCTGATTTAAAAACTCGGTTCCCGTGGCTTGTAACTCAAAAGTTTCTTTACAAGCTGCTTGTTTGGCGCTCCATTTCCATCTTTCCATAGTAACAATACTATAATTATTAGTTACCTTTCCAAGCCAATCAGGAAAAGCCAACATAACCCATGGCATACCCAGCCTCCCAGTGTCCTCCTGAGAGACCACAGGGCTTTCCCTCCCTCTGGTTCTCCAAACACCCAAAGCAGGCCTCATGGGCCTCTCAAAGTGCTTCACACTTCTTACTTACCTCCTCTTCCTCCCCTTCTCTCCCCTCTCTCCAAAAACAAAACAAAACTCACAAATCTGTGAATTCCCCAGGGTTAAATCAATAAGGTAAGATGTCACGGGGGAGAGAAGCCTTATCGATATGGGGTATCAGCCTCAGCACCGTGAACATATCTCTAACTCCTCTAGGAAGTACGTTTTTAAACAAGGATGCTTAACACTCAGATGAATCACTAGTGTGGCATTCCAGGCAGGGCCTCAGAATAAAGTGAAAACATTTGGACCTTTTGCTTTTTGTTTGAGCTGGAAGAGTCACTGCAGACTGACCAAAAGGAGCCCTCGGATGACTGCTTCTGCTTATGTTGTTATTTGCCACCGAGTCTGCCCCGACTCCTAGTGACCCCTCCTTGGGTTTCCGAGGCAGTTATCACTACGGAAGTAGGATTGCCCAACCTTCCTTCCGAGGCGTGGCTGGTGGGTTTGAACCACCAGCCTCCTGCTTAGCAGTCAAGTGCCTTAGGCACTATGCTACCAGAGCTGCTTCTGCTTATAGTTCCCTCCTTTCCTATGTTTTGTAACCCACTGGTTTTCCAAAGCTCCTTTTTCTTTCACGCAGACTCCTAGGGCAGGACACCAGCCACAAGGACGCTTCACCTTCTGTGTGCAGGCTCAGCAGGGGGCTGATGTACCCCAGTTGGGAGGGACAGTAGGCTAGGGTTGACTGTCTGCTGTGACGTCTTGTACTCACACACTTCACTGTGCAGGGAAATCAGAGCCTGAGCATCTGTCTTCTAACCCAAGCTCATGAAGATGGAGGCAGCTACCACTGTTGATTTAGAAATCAAAAAGAAACTGAGCCTGGACCAGAAACCGTCCGTCAGCATCATCCCTGCATCCTGTCTCTGTGGTCAAGCAGCGTGGGAGGCCCAGGCACAGCCAGAGGTAATTTACTGATTTGCCATAAGAAATTACAAGCTCTGGGATGGGAAGTTCTCAGCATCTCTATGTAAGATTAGCAGATATTTCTCTGTGGAAGCAAACCTGTGGGCCTATGGAAAGTACCATCAGAATGAGTGTAGTGTGTTATTTAATATCATAAGACCTAAGGCATGCATCTTAGCCAGAAATGGCTTTGCCAATGGAATTATAATGATAGCCCTTGTTCGAGGTGCTTTACACGTATTAACTGACTTAATCCTTTCACCACTCCAGGAGGTGCTTACTATCATCATCACCTCCATTTCACAGGTGAAGAAACAGAGAGGTTTAATAACTTGTCCCAGTCATGTAACAAGTCAATGGCAGAGCCAAGGTTTAAAGCCAGTCATTCTGACTCCAGAGTCTTGACTCTTCACCATTGTCCAACATTGTTTCTTGAAAATATTGAGAACCTGTTAGCTACAGCCTCCGTGTTCATCTGCACACTGAGACCAGCCTTGTCACTGGGGGGCAAAGCACCATGGGTGAGAGCCCCTTGCATAGACAGTGTGTGAAAGAGTACAGCAGGCAGTTTCCACTGACCTTTTTTTCTTTCTAAGATTAAAAAGGAAGCAAAACCCCTCTGCCATCGAGTCAAATCCGATTCATAGTGATCACCATTGGGTGTCTGAGGCAGTAAATCTTTAAGAAGTAGATTGCCCAGTCTTCCTTCAATGGAGTGGCTGGTAGGTTTGAAACACCAACTTTCCGGTTAGCAGACTTCTTGGGCACTGTGCTACCAGAGCTCCTTCTTTCCAAGATTAGAGAACACATTATCAACATATTATTTTCTTTAGACATGTCAATAATATCGTGAAACATGTCAATAAAATCGTCCCTCAGAAGACTGCATATCTGGCCTCTGATGATTAATGCTGATCCTCAAAGGTGGCTAACTCACTTGTAGCCCCATGAAACTTACAATGAGGACAGATCAGACTCTCTAGTGAGGCACTGGTGGTTCAGTGGTAGAGTTCTCACCTCCATGCAGGAGACCCAGGTTTGGTCCTAACCGATACAGGTTATGTACGGTCAACACCTGTCTGTCATTGCAGGCCTGCAAGTTGCTATGGTGCTGGAGAGGTTTCAACACAGCTTCCAAACTCGGAAACTAGGAAGAAAGTTTGGCAAGCTACTTCTGAAAATTCTGCCATTGGAAGCCTGAGGGATCCCAACGGTCCAGTTCCCAGTGATCATTGAGAGAGTGGAGGACTGGGTGGCATCTCATTCTATTGTATTGGGTCACCATGAATCTCCCCTTTTAAAGAATGGTCAAGGGAAAACACTGAAGAGTCTTATACCTCCCTCATTTTATAAGGGGTGTATATGAAACAGAGAGGGCAGTGACCAACCCAAGGCCACAGAGTGAGGTTGTGGCGAAACCAAGTCTAAATCCACTGCCATTGAGTTGATTCCAATTAACAGTCACCTATTGGACAGGGTAGAACTGCCCCAATAGAGTTTACAAGGGAGTAAGTCTTTACAGAAACAGACTGACTGACTTTTCTCCAGTGGAGCAGCTGGTGAGTTCAAACCGCTGATCTATTGGTTATCAGCCAATGCTTTAACCACTGTACCACCAATGAAATGGACACAACATACTGCCATTAAGTCGGATCCAACTCATAGCAACCCCTCCTTGGGTTTCCAAGGCAGTATCACTACGGAAGTAGATGCCCCAACCTTTCTTCGGAGGAGCGGCTGATGGGTTTGAACCGCCAGCCTTCTGGTTAGCAGTCAAATGCTTTAGGCACTACACCACCAGAGCTCCTGTACCACAAGTCTTAAATCAAGCATAGGTCAGGGTTATCCTGACTACCAGTCCAACTTCAGTATTCCAGCAACTATACCTGGAATCACCCTTACTCCTTTTTTAAAATCAGATTTGTTTTGCTTGGCTCTGTTTTCTATTCTGTGTCCTTCCTTTGTCCCAAGCTTTTGACTTCCTTTTCCCACCCAGCCAAAATGAAGATCCTTCTGTTCCCCCTTCCTGTGGGACAAATACTTTCTCACAGAGTTTGGGCAGGCTTAGATTTGCAAAAGCAGGTCACACAATCCTCATTTCCCAGGGGCCGAAGGTACATGAGAAAGCAGCAGCCTGTGGCAGAAGGAGCAGTATGCACCCCTTCATTCCACAGAGCCTTGTTGTGCACCTTCATCCTCCCGGGCACTAGTCTAGGCATTGCTGGGATTTGGCAGCAAATAAGCTGACAGTGACCTGCTCTGTGAAGCTCACATTGTAGTGGGAGGCAGAGTGGTGGTGGAACAGACTGTAAACACACAAATAAAATACCTTTGTATAGAAGTAAATGCTATAGACAGCCAACAAACACATGAAGAAATGCTTGCGATCACCAGCCATGAATGAGATGCACACCAGAACAATGATTTGTCATCAACAACAATGAGATATCATCGCACACCAGCAGTAACAGCAAAGCTCATCACGACAGTAAACAACAAATGCTAGTGAGCGTGTAGAGAGATAGGAACTCTCATGCACTGCTGGTGGGACTGTAAAATGGTACAATCACTGTGGTTGTACAACAGTATGGTGCTTCCTCAAAGAGTTGGAAATACAAACACCATCTGATTCAGGAATCCCACTACTTGGACATGTCTTAGAGAGGTGAGATCCAGGACACAAATAGTTATAAGCACACCCATGTTCCTTGCAGCACTATTCACAATAGCAAAGAGATGGAAACAACCTATGTGCTCATCAACAAATGAATGGATAACCAAACTATGGTACACAATGGAACGCAACATTAAAGAATAATGAAAAATCAGAGAATCACCTCATAACATGGATAAACTTGGGGACTATTGCACTGAGTGAAATAAGTCAGTCACAGAGGACAAACATTGTATGAGTCCATTATTATGAAAAGTCAAGGAAAGGTTTATGCAAGGAAGGGAATTTTCTTTTTTTGTTACCAGGGTAAAAGAGAGTGGAAGAAAATTTGCTTACTAGA